AGTCGGGGAGAGGGGGCGGCGATGCTCCCGCAGGCCGCGCGGGCGGCCGGAGGAGGCAGGCGCCCCAGTCTGAGGACAGCGGGCGCGCGGCAGACAAGTCGGGCTGCAGGGCCGCGGGCGGGCGTAACTTTGCCCCCCGCCCGGCGCCCCACCCGCTTCGCCGCGCGCCAGGTAATTCGACCCGCGCGCGCGGCGAAGGGTCGCGGATCCATGCGCGCAGGGCCGGGTGGGCCAGAGCACGCGACGAGAGGCCCAGCAGGCCGGGAGGGGGCCGAGGGAAGGCAGAGCACCGTGAGATCTGACGTTGCAGAAGAGGCTGCAGCATGGCAAAAAATCACAACCGAAGCCCCGATCAGTCTGCGCAATTTTCGAACCCGATCGATCTGCGAGGGTCCCGGGGCCCGAAACTGGGCGAAAAAAACAGGTGTGTAAAAATTGCAACGCCAGGGCCTCAGGGCAAGGAGGACCCGGACCTTCTACCGCCCTGAAGGACCACTACGGGGGCCCAGGCCCCGGGCCGTCAACAAGCGGCTCGGGATGAACAGCCCGCCCCAGGGAACGGGTCAGGGCTTCCAGGGGCCCCGCAGTGTGAAAACAAGGCCTCGAATCCTTGGAACTGGACAGAAGGAGCAAGGGGGACGAGGGGGGAGAGGAGGAGGAGGAGGAGGAGGAGGAGGAGGAGGAGGAGGAGGAGGAGAAAGAGCGAGGAGAAGGAGCGAGAGGATGATCGAGGAGGAGGAGGAGGCGGAGGAGGAGGAGGAGGAGAAAGAGCGAGGAGGAGGAGGAGGAGGGGGAGGAGGAGGAGAAGGAGAGCAAGGAGGAGGAGCAAAACAGGAGGAGATGGAGAAGAGCAAGGAGGAGGAGGAGGAGGAGGAGGAGGAGGAGGAGGAGGAGCGAGAAGGGGGAGGAGGAGGAGGTGGAGGAGGAGGAGGAGGAGGAGGAAGACGAGGAGGAGGAACATGAGGACGAGGACGAGGACGAGGAGGAGGAGGAGGAGTAGGGAGGAGGAGGAAGGAAGAACGAGGAGCAAGGAGCAAAGAGCGAGGGGGAGGACGCGCACGACCGTGCACGGCACGACCGAATTCGAGCGGAAAACAACAACGACAAACGAGTTACCAGACGCGCCAGGAACCGAAGAGGAGGTCCTCATCCTCCTCGGCCCCTTGGGCGCGCCTGTCCTCGACCTGCGCGCCGAGGGCCTCGACCCCCGTCCCTCACTAGGCCCATCAGCGCGAGACCTCGCACAAGGTCGGCCGCAGGGCCCTCGCGGGCGACCGCCCGGGCCTCGCGAACCTGTTTCGGGGGCCCCTGGAGGCCCTGGGCCCAGGTCGAGAAAAAAGGGGCCCACTCTCCCCTCGTCTCCAGGGGGGGGCCCCGGATGGGCCATCGTGAGCCCCTTGGGGTTCCGATGGGCAGGATGCAGACCAGCGCGACACTTAGAAAAGTAAAAAGCCCGCCCGCTCGACGACGACGACGCCGACGACGGTTACAACGACGACGGACGACACGGCCCCCTCAGGTTCCCCCGTTTCGTGCTGGTGTGGACCATGGCCCCACAAGCCGTGCAACATTACATAGTGTCGTGAAATGTGCAGCGGTCCGACTCATCAACATCTCCCTGCTCGAGAGAGTGCCCATTCTGGAGCCACGAGCGAGAAGGAGGAACGAAGAGGTCAAGGAGGAGAAGGAGGAGGAGCAGGGAGGAGCCAGGAGCAGGGAGCGAGGAGCGAGAAGGAGGAGGAGGAGGAGGAGCGGGAGGAGGACGAGGACGACGAGGAGGAAGAGGAGGAGGAGGAGGAGGAGGAGGAGGAGGAGGAGGAGGAGGAGGAGGAAGTGGAGGTGGAGCCGCGCGAGGAAGGCGGCCCTCTTAGAAGGCAGAGGGGGCTTCTTGCAGAAGACCTCCTATGGCATCGTGGAAGCCCGAGGGCCCTGCCAAGAAAGCCCCCGCCCTCTCAGAGGGCCGCCACCCTCGAGAAGGCCCCTGGGAGCACGGAAGAAAAAAACGCAGTCGCTCGCGGGCGGGTGTGGCTTTGCCTCCCGCCCAGCGGGCTCCGATCGGCGATCAGGATCGGACCTCCCTCGAGGATCGAGGATCGAGGACCGAGGATCGAGAGGCGGGCGGCAGCCGAGCCCCCGCCTCAGAGGCTGCTCACTCCGGCTCCTCGCCCTTGCAGCCCTTGTGCTCCTTGCTGCAGCAGTACTCGATCTTCTTCGGGGACCACGACAGCTCCAGGCAGTGCATGCAGTGGTGAGAGCCAGGGCCCCCCACGCCAGGACAGTTCTAACCAGGACCTTGAGAACTCCACCTGGGGACAAGGAAGCACGGAGAACGCTTGGACCCACAGCTGCAATCTTCCCGGGCGCGCAACCGTCCTGGTTAATCAAAGTGTCCCCGGTCTGGGGGGCCCTGAGATAGCCCGCGTTGCAGTCGTACACGCTGTTGTCCGGCTCCGGGGGTGCGTTGGAAGGGGGCGCGCCAGAGGGCGGGGGCAGCTCCGACGGGCAGCCCTTGTTCGCGGTCTTGCAGCAATACAGCTTCTTCTCGCCAGACCAGCCGCGGACCCACTGCAGCGGGTCGAGGTCGTTATAGCCAGCGTTGCAATCGATCGGGCACGGGGAGGTGGTGCTCCTCGCCGTCGTTACCACTGGCACGTATATTGGCGCCGGCATGGTGCTGGGAGCGGCAGGGGTCGTCGGGCAACCCTTGCCCTCGTGCAGGCAGCAAAACACCTTCTTGGGCACGTCCCAGGACACGACGTCGCCCTCCCCGCAGTTAATCTTCTTTTCCGTGGTCGTGGGCGGCGGGGGCGGCGGGGGCGGCGGGGGAGGCGGGGGAGGCGGGGGCGGCGGGGGCGGCGGAGGCGGGGGGGGAGCCGCCGTGGTCTTCCGGGCGGTGGTGGCCTTGGCCTTGGTGGACTCAGGCGGCGGGTGGTCGTGATGATCAACGGGATCAGGTGTTGGTGGTAGGTCGTCGCACGGTCGTCGTCGAGCCCGGCGCCATCGGAAGAGGAGAAAGGGTTAGCAGGAGGAGCGAAGGCCAGGGGCACGAGGGCAGATCAGGCGCTGTTCGGGCCCGCGAACCGTGGGATGCGGACCGCCCCGATAACTCGCGTTGCCCCTCATGCCAGTACGGTAGGTTGGTCTCCTGGATGTATTCACCACCGGGGCCCCAGTAGCTCAGGTTCGTGCCGCCGCCGCCGCGCAGGAGAGGCCTCGGGCACAGGCCACGCCACTAGCCGGGGCCGCAGCCCATGCAGGCGGTGGTGCTCGCGCAGCACGCCGTGCCGCAGTCCTGAGGGGAGCCGGGAGGAGGGGGGGGGACTGGCTCAGGGGGAGGGACAACATTTCAGGGAACCGACGAGGCATCGCCGCTGGATCGGCGACGGGCCCACGCTCCTGGGCACCCCCGCTGGGCGAGGAACGGGCGACAAGAGGGGTTCGAGGCTCCCCCCTCCCTGGCCAGCCCCCGCTCCCAGAGATTCGCCTGGCTTTCGGGCCACACTTCGGCACTCCCGCGGCCGCTCGGGGCGACCTTTGGCGCCTCTCGGAGGCTGGCGCGGCGAGGCGCGGCTGCTGGAGAGCACCCTCTGGGGCTGGGAAGCCTGCGGGGGCCCACGGGAAGGGTCGGAAGCCGCGGCGCCCCCGGAGGTCCGCGCCCCCCGCGCCGCGCGCGCGCGTACGCGCTAGTAGAGGCCGTGGCGCCGTACGCGGAGCCCGCGCCGTACGCGCCGCGAGCGGACGCGACGCCGCCGAGGCCGCCCGCCGCCTTACCCGAGGCCTCCGCCGTTACCCCCGTAGCGGAAGGACATGGCGCCGCGGGCGCCGCGGAGCTGCGGGTGGTGGCCGGGAGGAGCAGGACAGCCAGCCCAGATCCACAGGGACCGACCACGACGATGCTTAGAACGAGGTGGCGCGTACGACCCCAAAACGAACCGAGGCCCCACGTTTCGAAACGGGCGATGACAGCGAGACCGGCGCCAAGCGGAAGGAAGCACGAAACGACGTTGGAAGCAACAACGGAAAGCTAAGCGAGCACGAGCAACTGACATACTGATACGAATAACACAAGCACGCAAGGCCCACGCAAAACACGCCCAGCGGTTGTGTATGGGGCCTTGGAACAGCTAGCCAAAATCGATTCCACAGCCAGGATTGCAAGGTGAGGATGCACGCACCCTGGGAGTCCATTTACCATTCAGAGCTCCTTGAGCGTCTACATTGGCTAGGCCGGGGCGTAGGAAGAGGGGTGTTGCAGGGAGTGGTTTAGATGAAGCAGAGCCATCTGACTACTGTGGATTCTCGACCGTAGCACAAATTCTCGGTTCGCTGCGGATTCTCGCGGATCGGCGGTGGGCCTCTGGCGGCGCACTGGCGGCGCCCTGCCGCTCTCCGCGCCGCCGAAAGGGGCGGGAGGGCGGCAAACAAATACCAACACCGCTACTCCCCGGACGTCTCCCCGGGGTGCGCTCCGACCCGAGCTTCGAGGCGAATCCAGCCGTGGCGACGAGGGCCGCTCAGGAGGCCCGACAGGGTGAGAACGAGGCCCGACAGGCCCGAGGGTAGTGGTATGGGCACTTTCTCCTCAAACGATCCAACGCCGACGCAGGGAATCCACAAGAACCTCCGCATGTTTGCGCTCGTGCCGTGTTCTCTTCCTCGACCCGAGGAGCTGCTGGCCGGTGCGGTGCAGAAGGGGGCCCCTGAGGCGAAAGCCTCGAGCCAAAACAGGCTGCGCAAAGACGCGCCGCTGACCAGGCTGCCGCGACAGGGTGCTGGCGCAGAGGGCTGAACAGGCACCGATTCACAAGCGGCGAACGTATCATCCGAAGGCGCGCCTTCGCGGTCTGGATCCTGGGGCGCGATCCCGCGGATACGCGGTCGCACGGACACGTTCCGCGCGAATCGTCCGCGAACAAAACCGTTCCGTATCCGCGGGTTCGTGGCCCAGGGGCCTGACCCACGAGGCCGTGGACACGGATACGTTTTCAACCCACAACCAAAACTAATTTCTACGAGACTTCGTGCAAGCACGCGTGAGAACAGAAGCAGGCATAGCGGTGCTTACTGTACACATTGCTGGCAAGGCCGTTCCACGCGAGCAGTTGGGCCAACTGAGTACTCCTTGAACATTCGAGAGCCAATGAACAAACTTCATGAGAAGCACCCATGCAAGCGAAGCCCTGTAGCGAGCGTGCCCAAGGAAGGCGTCGATCAGGGGAATAGCCGTGAGACAAACGACCAGGATGGCGCAGCAAACGCCAAACTTTGGGGGACAGGGTGGTTCTTCGCGCGAGTAGCGGCAAGCGCTCGGTGACTGACGGCATCCTGGGCCGAACCAGGGGACCCCCCGACGAGAGCCGTCCGTGCGGGCACGATGCCCGTGCACACTCCCGCCACCATCCGCCCCGAGGGGCCGCCCGAGACTGCGCGGAGCCGGCAGGATGGTGCCCACACGGCCCACACGGGGCACTCCGAAAGAGGCCTAACAACTCCTCCAATGGAACGCACAGAAACAGACTAGTACTATACGTCCTCCTTGGAGGCACGTCCGAACCGAACATATAGTATGCCCACTTTGTAGTAGATCGTTTCCCAAGCGGTGTGGCCAGAAAGCGCCCGCCACGACGCATGCACTACAAGATTTCTCGGTGCACGCATCGCCCCTGGGGGGGCGGCGCACACATAGAAGTAATAGTTATAGTAGTAGCGATAGTAGCAGCAGTCTACTGCTACTACTACGACTACAACTACAACAATAACAACAACAACAACAACAACAACAACAACAACAACAACAACAACAACAACAACAACAACTACGACTACTACTACAACTACTACTACTACTACTACTACTACTACTACTATTACTACTACTACTACTACTACTGCTGCTACTACTACTACTACGACTACTACTACTACTACTACTACTACTACTGCTGCTACTGCTACTAACCCTATTACTAGTATTACTACTACTACTACTACTACTACTACTACTACTACTACTATTACTACTACTACTACTACTACTACTACTACTACTACTACTACTACTACTACCACTACTACTACTACTACTACTACTACTACTACCACTACTACTACTAAGACCGGAGTAGTCGGAGTAGTAGTAGTCGTCGTCATCGTAGTAGTAGTAGTAATAGTAGTAGTAGTAGTAGTAGTAGGAGTAGTAGGAGGAGGAGGAGCAGTAGTAGTAGTAGTAGTAGTAGTAGTCGTCCTAGTAATAGAAAATACTCGTAGAAGTAGTAGCAGTTGTAGTAAAATAGAAGTAGACAAGTTGTTGTACTAGCTGCGGTGGTAGTAGTAGTAGTAGTAGGTGAGTAGTAGTAGTAGTAATGGTAGAAATAATAGTTCGTGCTGTTTGTCGTTTGTACTCGTGTCGCGAGTGGTAATGTAATTCTTATACTAGTAGTACTAGTAGTAGTAGTAGTAGTAGTAGTTGTAGTAGTTTTAAAATATAATAGTGTTAGTATAGTAGTAGTAGTGGTAGTAGTAGTAGTAGTAGACGTAGTAGTAGTAGTTAGTAGTTCGTAGTAGTAGTAGTAGTAGTAGAATAGTAGGCAGTTTTAGTAGTAGTAGTAGTAGTCGTAGTAGTAGTAGTAGTAGTAGTAGTAGTAGTGGTAGTGTCAGTAGTAATACTAGTAGTAATACTAGTAGTAGTAGTAGTAGTAGTAGTAGTAGTAGTAGTAGTAGTAGTAATAGTAGTAGTCGTAGTTGGTGTAGTAATAGCGGTAGTAGTAGTAGTAGTAGTAGTAGTAGTAGTAGTAGAAAGTAGTAGTAGTAGTAGTAGTAGTAGTAGTAGTAGTGGTAGTAGTAGTAGTAGTAGTAGTAGTAGTAGTAGAAGTAGTAGTACGTAGCAGTCCTAGTAGTAGTAGGTGTAGCAGCAGTCGTAATAGTAAAATCCGTAGCAGCAGCAGCAGCAGCAGTGGTAGTAGTAGTAGTAGTAGTAGTAGTAGTAGTAGTAGTAGTAGTAGTAGTAGAAATAGGGGCAGTGGTACAAGTAGTAGATGTTGTCCTTGTAGTAGTCGTAGTCGTCGTAGTAGTTGTAGTTGTCGTAGTAGTAGGCGCCGTAGTAATAGTAGTAGTAATGGTAGTGGTAGTAGTTGCAGCAGTCGTAGTAGTAGTAATAGAAATAGTTACAAGTGTAGTAATCGTAGTCGTAGTAGTAATCGTAGCAGTAGCAGTAGTAGTATAAGTATTCGTACTAACAGCCATAGTACAAGAAGTAGTAGTCGTAGTAGAAGAAGTAATCAATGTAGTCTTTGTAGTAGTGGTAGTAGTATAGTCATAGTAGTCGTATAGCAAGCGTAGTAGTAGCCGTCGTCGTGATAATCATAGTACTACTACAAATAATAAGCGGCGTCGTAATCCTAGTCCTTGTCGTAGTGGTAAGTCGAAGTACTAGTGAGTAGCAGTAGTAGTAGTAGTAGTAGTAGTATTATTCGTGGGGATAGTAAAAGTAGTAGTAGTTGT